TCTTCAGGAAGTCTGACAAAATCAGAATAGACTGTGAGCGAGGTCTTTGATGTGCCTTCTCGTGAGTGAACAGAAGTCCTTTTTGGTGACATCTGGTGGTTCCTGGTGGCTCTGTTCTCCATCTCATCATCCCTGTCGGCTCATCATTGGTTTTTTGTAGCTCCTTGTGTGTCTCACGCCTGTAAGGTAAAGTGATTTTACCCTCCTGATTTTTGCCTCAGGTGTCTTCTCTTGTACACAGATGAAATCAGCAAACGGCTTTGAGCCACTCAGCTGTTCACTTCTTGACCTTGTATGTTATCTCTGCAAAATAAGGAAGCACCTAACATCCTTCTAGGTGGTACATTTTGTTGTCTTCCCAACCTAGACATTTGGCTTTAGGGTTCAGTCTGAAATTTCAGGCGTCTTAAAATTGCATTAAATCATTGGGGTTCTCTGGTGACAGTCCTGGCTTTCCTTATTTGACACTTCCTAACAAACTTACCACAGCGGCATCCCTGTGGGACAGGGAGCAGAAAGTATCCCTGTAACTAGAACCCGCGCATTCCAGGCTGACCTCGAACTTGCTATGTAGGCAAGGATGATCTTGAACTCCTGATTCTCTTGCCTCCATGCTCTTGACTGCTTGGTAAGATCACAGATGTGCGCTAACCACACCCAGTTTATACAGTGTTGGGGATCAAATGGAGGGCTTTGTGCACACTAGACAAGCATTCTACCGTCAGAGCTCGTCCCTACCTCCTTCCTTCCTTCTGACCTTTGAGACCTCTCTGCTGAGACCATTCTCAGTCCCGGTGGTGAAGCCTCCCCAGTACCTCCTGCCTTACACCTTGTCAAAGACCTGCTCACAGATGCGTATTAAGCAACCTCCCTGTGAAGACCGTGATGCGGCTACACACATTCCTTGGGCACTCGTATTGGTTAAGCACTGTACTCATCTCAGTCTTCCCAGCAGCTTCCTTATAAAGTACTGCTGTAATCCCTAGTGCATACATGGTAGGATTAGGGTACAGAGAAGTTCTGTGAGTTCCTCAGGATTATCCAGCAACAGTAGGGGGGCCAAGGTTGAAGCCCCAGAAGGGATGCCTGCCTCTTCACAGTGTGAATCCACGTTGTCTGCTGTCTGTGAGCTCTTCAGATTGCAGCCAAGCCAGGCCTTTGAAAACCCAACCCCCCAGCTCAGACCCATCACCAGCTTTTGCCTTAGATCCTTCTGCCTGGAATCCCTTCCCCCTTATCTTGGCCTGTACCCCTTCAGATTCCTCTCTGGCAGTGGTACCCAGTTGAATGCATGCATGGTTATCTCCTGGGACAGTCAGTCAATGGAGACTCACAGTTCTAAGGTAAAGCAAGGCTCCCAGATTCTAAGTGACCTTGTCTTATATGAGGTCAGAGACAAGAACCTGGGTTCTTGGCCAACTAACTTGGTCATAGTCATCATTTTATTTCTCTTTGCGCCAGGCAGGTGGAGCAGAGACAGGGCCTTCTGTGTCTGAGGTTTATCTCCCCACATGGCATGGAATATGGGAATATGCACATAGTGACCACATAGGTGGTTTGAAGCCTAGTACCAATTTGTTGGCTCCTTAGAAGGGGCTAAAAAGGAGGGAGAGTATAGTTTGCCTTTTGTCAATGAAATAGAAAGCTTCCCCGGGGGAAGGAACATCTAGCCCGATCAGCCCACCTTGTTTCAAAGATTTGTAGAATACTACTCCTCTTCCAGTTCACAGGGGCCTGCAGGGCTCGAGCTGCTTACAGAGTTCTATTGCTAACCCTGAGCTGTACTAAGATCAGACACCAGAGCAGTAACTAGGAACCGGGAATGGGTTGTTTTGAATATGATGGCTAGCCTGAGCATCTCACCCAGGTGCCTGTGGGTATGAATAACAAGGAAGTATGGAATACCTGTCGAGCTGTGGTTGGCACACCCAGTTCAAACTATGTGGCAGATCACTGTCAACTCTGTCAACAGTCAGCACATGTGGGAAATAGAAGCAGCTAGTGAGCCCCAAATGTCTCCTAAGAGAGCAAGGAAAAATTAGTATTTACAGCAGCCGTTGTGTCGGGGCATATGTACTGTTGGGCACTGTACTGACTCTCAGTGATGTTCTGTGGTTTCTTGATAACCCTGTGAGGTAGGAATTGTCATCCCTCCTCATTCATGAGTAGCCCCAGGTTGAGTGTGGCTAAGCCCCAGCAGAAAGGGAAGGGATACACCAGAGCCATATAGACCAGATACTGTTTTCCTAGCCTTGGAATTGCACCACACTCACCTTTAGCTTGCTCCAGCCCTTTGGCCTTTGGCTCTTTTGAGGCTGAATTGTGCACCTGGAAGTTCCTTGGTCCATATTTCATAGGGTCTATTATACCTTGAGCACTCCAGTCAGTACGTGTACAGGCATACTTTCCTTCCTCATGACAGCTGGAAGACACTGTCCCATCATCAGAGACCTCACCCACAAAGCCAAACTGGGTGTGTCATTTATAAGTTATTCAGGGGCTATGCCCCGAGGTAAATCAATCACCGGGGGAAGAATATGGATGTTTTATTAAGGTGAGGCTTAGCTACTTGCTGGTTGTAGTTACATAGTAGCCAGCAATTCTGATAGCAGCAGGACATAAAAATCTAAAAACACAGCAGAGTATATGGTATTTTGTGTAATTCCAGGGTTACGTGTGAGAGATTACACTCTTCTATGCTACACCAGAAGCCTGTTCTCAAGACTGAAATCAGACATCAGGGGCTTTCAAAGCAGTAGATTGGTAGCTTGAAAAGAAAGGAAATCAAGTCTACTGCTGGAAAATGCTCTTTTTAAATACCACTTAGAACATTGGTTTTCCAAGCATGGTTCCTGCATCAAGTGCCTCTGCATCTTGGGAATTTTCTAGAAATGTAACTTCTGGAGTCTCCCCTTAGGCTATCTGAGTTTGCTTTGGGCCATGGGGCCCAGCAATCTATATTTTAACAACCCTCTCCTCTCAGAGAGTTGGATAGGCTAAAGCTAACGAGCATTACTGACCAGAAAGGCAAATTTGGCCCACGCCTCAGACCAGAAACCTCCAAGAGAAGGTGTTCTTGGGGCCCTGTGCATGTGGTAGGTGATGGCTCTTGGTGGCTGTTTTTCTGAAGCTGTGTCCTGCTAAGAAGTGGATTTATCTAGTTAAATGTTCCTTCCACAAGGCAAGCTTTATATTTTATGAACAAAGATAAGGTTAATGAGTGTATCTTTTTCTGTATACTGATATCCTACAGACCTTTGATTTTGTGTGTGTTGGGAGTTGGCGGGGGATGTATGTGTAGGTGGGTGTGCGGGTTTGTGGATGCAGTTATCCCCTTCGGATGTGTATAGAGACCAGAGGACCACATGGCCTTCCTCAGTTGGTTCTTGGTTTTTATTAGTAGTATTATGATATAATACTGTTAATAGTATTAATAATATGTATCATTATTATGAGGAAGAGGATGATGATGATGATGACGACGATGATTTGGTTAAGCTGGCTGGCCAGTGAGCTGGGAAAGGCCGGTCTCTGCCATCCAGATGTGCCTCCATCCTCAACTTCTATTTGGGCGCTGGAGATCCGAACTCAGGTCCTCACACTTGCAGAGCAAGGTCTTTCTCCACCGAAGCGTCTCCCAGACCTGTGTTTGGTGTGTTGGGTCTCGACTACAATCTTTTTGCTGCTAGTCTTTTATGAAGGGTTCATGACACATACTTAATGAGGATACCAAATAGGAAGTAATGTACTCTTAGCATCTCAAAGTATTTTCTGTAATCTTGGGGAATGCTCTGGAAGTTGTAAAATTGTTGTTGGGATGACTCTGTTGTGTGTATTTGGGGGGGGGGTTGTCTTTCTAAGACAGGGTCTCTCCATTCTCAGGCCTCCGACTTCTTATAAATTCTAAGGTTTTGTTAGTATGCCACTCTGGCCAGCTGAATAACATCTCTCTCAAGTTGGCTTGAAACTGGCACAATAGAGTGATAGAAATAAATTAGCAGATATAGAAAATTAAATAAGCAAACCAGGAAGGTGAATATATAAGAGAATGTCTGAGAACATGTGTGTTTTCTGGGCTCTGGAGAGGAGCAGATAAGAAATACCTCCATACAGGTCATCTTTTTCTGCATGTGCGCGTGCGTAGAGTCATCTCTCTCCTTCCACCCTTCTGTGGGTACCAGGGATTGAACTCAGGTCCTTATACTCACACTTTATACAGGGACTTTACCTGCTGAGCCATCTGACTGTCCCCACCCCAGTTTTTCAAGAATGAAAACTTGACTAGTTTTGAGCATTTGGGTTAGAAACACTAGAGAATCTGAGTAGATTGGCACTCTGAGTAGATTGTCTGCAGTAGGTACACTTTTTAATACATTCCTGCTGGCAGATGCCAGCTTCTCAAGGTAAAGGCTTATAGGATATACAAGGACTTGTAGTCAGGAAAATGAAATTTTCATTGAGATTTTTTTTCAAGTATCTACCTTTGGGTGACATTGAATTTTTAGGCATCTGTGTTTAGTTTTGAAGTGTTGGTTGATTTTATCTGTCACGATTTAGGTGAATAATCATTGTTTTACCTCCACTAGGAGAAAAATATTTTACCTGCATGACAGAAATGAGAATATGAATTAGGTTTTTTATTTGTGGAAACAAATAAAATAATAATCTCTCTGAAAATATTAATAATATGATTACATTAATCCGAATAATCTCTCTGAAAAACTATCAAAAGTCTGAAAGCAATAACAGCTTTAATTGTTTTGGGTTGATTATTGGAAAGATCACCTTTAAAGTTAAAATGCTGGTTTCTTTGTGTGTTATTTAATTTGGGCTCTTTGACAGGACCATTTATCAAAATATGCTACTTGATGTATGGACGTACACATGAGCTGGGGTGTTGCCCGGTGTTTGCATTCTCATTCCATTTTGTGCTTTTGTTTGCTTGCTTGTTCTTAATGAAAAAGCTATAGTACCACTAAATCTGAGCTATTGCCTTGCAGTGACCCGTATGTGAAGCTGTCCTTGTATGTAGCGGATGAGAATAGAGAACTTGCTTTGGTTCAGACAAAGACAATTAAAAAGGTAGGTTCAAACTTTTATGAAATTCAGATAAGTCATAATTTAACCCAATTACCTTTTATATTTTGGCTTTGTAGAAGTTTATGTTTTAAGAATAAGATAGCAATATTTTTATTTTAAGTGTCTCTTATTGCATCTAAAAATTGCCCATAGTCCAAAACTTTTCCGTGTTTTACCTGAGTTATCTGTATGAAGTTTTTTTTTTCCCCCTTACAACACATACAACCAAACAAATAAATTATTCTGGTTAACTTAATGTTTTTCATAAAGAAATTTAAGCTGTAGTTTAAAGTTCATTTAATGAAATGGGTGGTAGACTTGGCAGGTGAAGGGGAATGGTTTGACTTGTAGAGTAACTGGTACCTGAGGAAGCAAAATGCTTAGTGCCATGAAAATACACAGGATGTAATAGTAATAAAGTTATACATGTGTCCGTGTGTCTTTTCCTGTTGTATGTGTGTGTTGTGCATGTTCATATAGAGAGAGAAATAAACATATATGTGTGGAGGCCAGAGGCGAAACTCAAGTGTCTTCCTTAACCATTTTTCCCCTGTTTTTTGAGGCAGGGTCTGTCACTAAACCCAGAACTTGGTGGCTTGAGTAGATGTGCATACCAGCGAGCCCCAGGATCCCCTGTCCCCTGCCTCTGGCATGACACTTGCTGAGAACTGCTCCATCCACTGTTTATATGGGTGCTGGGACTCAGCCCTTCATGCTCTTACAGCAAGTTTTTTACTGACTGATCCATCTCAGCTAAATTCACTCACCCCTATGTCTGTCTCTGTATCTCTCCATACACACACACACACACACACACACACACACACACACACACACACACATACACACACATACACACACATATATACATATACACACACACACACATATATATACACATACATACATACATACATATATATAAAAGTTCTTGGGTGGGGGTTGGGGCTGTGTTAAAAGTTGCATGTTTTCTACCAAGAATGCTAATTTGTGTTTTAGAGTTCACACACACACACACACACACACACACACACAGTTTCTGAGTCTGTTAGATAGTCTGATCACTTTACAGAATGTTTTCTGATTCCATGCTTGCTTCAAAAAGATTGCAGCCTTCCTGCTGCTGTGGAGATGCTTAGGATCTATGGCACGATCAGGTCATTTTGTGTAGGAAACAGTAATGCAGTGTCCTTCACCTGGCATTGAAACCAGCAGTGAAATCTGTTTGCAAACAGAAGGCAGTGTAGAGATTAGTGGGAGGCTGCCTCTGAGCACGGAGGCCATTGTTCCCAGTGTTAGGAACTGGCACTTGTTCCCAGTGAAGCTGGGACACCACATCGGAACAGCAATCAGGGGGCCTGGTCCCCTGCTGGACTAGAGCCCAAGGAGCACCCATGCCGGTGACCAGGGCATTACCATGTCTTTCATTCGGAGTGGCAGCCCTGCTTCTCCCTCCCTTCACCAGCTGGAGGGAGTGTCTCCGTTCTGGCAGCCAGCCTCCTGGTTAGTATGTGCTGTGCGGTGTTGTGCTGTGCTGTGCCGTGCTGGTGGGGGAGCTCAGGCTTCCTCTACCTGTGTCCCTGCTCCTTTGCTCTGGGGTCTCCTTTTGTCCCTTGCCCGCCTGGCAGCCCCTTCCCCTTCATTCCATGTTCATTCTTCCAGTTCGGGAGGGGAGCGTTCACCACCCCCAATTCCATCTCAGTTCTATTCATGCCCCAAAGTGCAGTCATTTAGGGTGGGGGTCTCTGGGTTTGGGGCGTGGGGAAAGTGCAGTTTGTTGTTGTTGTTGTGAATCAGGGTCAGTTGACCGTTGTCGTGGTGTGTTGTTTGCATGTGTGGTATACTGTGCTGGGATTTCCTCTTTCCCCTGTTAAAAGGTCAATGTGTTGATGACCTAACTTCATTTTCAGAATTTTTTTAGAGGTTGTTTTTACCTGACTTTTATGTGTGTGGTGTGTACTATGTGTGTGTGGTGTGTATGTGTGTATGGGTTCCTTCACAGACAGTGCTTCATGTTAATTTAGAAGGATGTTTTGTGCGGGCCGAGCACCAAAATTTTGTTGCTGCCGTCTTTCAGGATGTGTCTTTAAGGCGAATGGTCCATGAATGAAGAAGGTCAAAGGCTATCTTTTAAATGATTGCTTTGGGAGAAAGAAAAAAATTCAGTTGCCTTTGCTTACTATGTATGTGTGTGTGTCTGTCTGTGTGTCTATTAAAATCTCCTCGATATTGTTCTTTATACAAATATTCTTCAAATGTCAATGTTGAGAGCTTTCAGCCTTTCCTACTTGAGCACACACTTGTAGCAGGTAGACGGGAGTCAACAGAGTTTACTTCCTTCTTGACAGAGTAAATCGTTTTGAACATCATTCTGTCAAGGGAATTTTTGTTTTCGTCGCTCTTTGTCAGTAAGTCCCAGCATTTTTTCTTTGGGTAAGCTCGTGTAATTTATGGTTTCATAGTCATGAATCATGAGTTTCATAAATATAGTCAGTCCCTCCCCATCCATTTTAGGTTTATAGACTAGTCTCAAATAATTGACTAATGTTGCTTTTATTGCCATTTTGAAGATCACTCTTATGAGGAAAATGTTTGCACAAATGTGAAGCGTTTGTATTCTATTAGTAACTGTCGGTTCCAACACAGCTGAAGATCACAGAATAATCTCTCTTCCAGACGCTGAACCCGAAGTGGAACGAGGAATTTTATTTTAGAGTAAGTTTTTCTCATTTTGTAATAATTATTGCTATCTAGATTGATAGATCAAAACAGACTTGTGGAAAGAAAATGAGACAGCATTTCAAGTAAGAAATTTCTCTTAAGATAGGAAATGTTTGGGTTTGGGAGACTCAGAATGTGTCCCAAATTTTGAAAAATCTGTGGAGGTTTCAGGAGAAATAAAGGTCGTCAAGATATCATGTTATTTTTTTTTTTCACTCAAACTTTTCTTTAAAATAAGAAGAAAGTAAGTCTTGGGGTCTGGTTAATTTCAGTTGTGGGTTTGTTTTGCAACCTTTAAAAAATAAAATTTGAAGAAAAAGGCAGAAAGACAATGCAGTTTAAAACAGTAGTTGGATGATTTCTCTGTGATATGGATTATGAATTGCTCATCCAGAGTAGAGAGATAATTGAAAGGAAGCGTTATAAAGTCCCAGTGATGAGGCCAGGGATAGTTCAGTGGTAGAGCACTTGCCTAGCATTCTAGAGACTCTGCGTTGGATCTCCAGCACTGCCTCCCCACAAAAGACAGAAAATTACCAGTTATGTTCTGGATAGAGGAGAGAGATTTCTAATTCAGAGATCTAATGTATGCAATTACTTTCGATACCGAGTAGAGGAACATTTCCACAGCCTCCCACACCACCCACACCACCCACACCCCGTTTAGAACAGCTGGATACTGAAGGGGATTCTGTGAATTAACGGAGCCCAATGCTTGCTGGTGTTTGCTAGCAAATATTGGAAGTATTAAGCCCTTCAGCCATTTAACTGGAAGAGAAAAAGGAGGCCTTTCCCTTTTAAAAAATGAAAACGTGAGTTGTCTGAACACCTGTGATACTAAAAAAAAAAAAGATCCACCTCCAAACTGCTCCAGCTTAGGCCTTCTAATGCTAAGAACCACGCGGCCAGTATATCCCCTGCACACAGTCCTGGCTTCTTCCTTTCAGCCATGATAGGATTTCTGTGCTGCAAACTTGGATGACTTGCCCTGCATCTGTTTTCTCTTACGTTCAGAGCTGAAATGTGGCTCTGAGGTCTTAACACTTGGTAGATCCCATGTTCAGCCTCTACCAGATATATATTAGGTAACTTCGTGGAGGCCTGAAAAGCTGTTGGGGGCTGAGAATCTGGATCTTTATTAACACTCAAATACAGAAAGCAGTTTTCTTGTGAGGCTAAATCGTTTGCATTCCTTCCATTTGAAACATGTTGTATGAATTTTATTATACGTAAAACTTTTTCGATGAATCGGATCTGTAGGCACATTGCTGTTTCTGTTTTAATCTTTTTGAAAAGATCTTTGTCTTATTCCCTGCCCAGTTTCTTACTGAATGCCTAGTATGTGCCTGTTCCTGCTGTAGACTATTGATGCATTTCTGCTGGGTGTGCGACCCTTTGCCAAGCTGATGAACAGACAGCCATCTGTCTGCCTTCTCTGTTGCAAAGCTGTCTGCAGACACAGGGCCAGGAGCTGTCTGTGCTACAATCAAATATAAGTTCATTCCATGTTCCATTAGGAGCCCACGCCTAGCATTAGTCCCATCTCACTTGCCTGTCATCACTGCTGATGGCCTTAGAGAACTTGAGGACATCAAACGTTTGCAATCTCCTGGGTCCCTTTCCCCAAAATAAGACAGAGAAGTTCTCTCAGGCTGTTCTTCCCTGATTGACAGGCCAGAGTGTAAATAGCAACGCCCGGTGCCACGTCTGGCAGGATTGGTAGTTAGTCAGTGGCACCTGAGTCCACATGATGAAACACAGGTTAATTGGGTGAGTTTGGATAAAGAGAAAGAAAGAAGAGAGACTGACGATACTTAGGGCTGTGACTTTACCCTACCCCAGGGCAAGGCCTGCTGGCTCAGCATCCAGGCTTGTGTGCTCCTGGGCAAATTGCTTCACTTACTTGGTCTCAGTGATTTCTGTGTGAAAATGAAGTAGTAGTTACACCCTGTTGGCTTGTTGGAGGATTAAATGAGTCTATATAGTGTTAGCAGTTCAGGAAATCATGGTTGGAGGTGGGCACATGGTATAAAGCTGTTCACATGTTCATCATTATCATCTTTAGGCCAGTGAGTATAACACTTTGATCTACAGATATGAGGGTACCTTTGCAAAAGAGATTGGGGTTCCTTTAAGACTGTTAAGAAACAACAATAAAAGTATTGTCTTTTTCTGGTATGCCTGGATATTCGGGGTAGAATAATAGCAGATATGCAGGTCAGTCATTGGTATACAGTAGAGTTCAGTGTGCTAGAAATCATTCTTAATTTTTCCTGTCTCTTAGATCAAATTCAAAATGATACCTGTTGATTTTTGAAATATAGTTTCTGTCCCTTTTAGGTAAATCCATCCAATCACAGGCTCCTGTTTGAAGTCTTTGACGAGAACAGATTGGTAAGTCCTTGGTTTTGAGTTTTGCTTTCTTTCTTAAAAACTGAATTTTTCGGGTGGTGCCTTTGAGAGCCTCTGGGTCGCTCACAGCAGTGCACAGGCTCCCAAAGAAGACTATTTTTGACCCACTGTTCAAGTTCTCGATTCTGGCAAATATTCGTGTATTGCTAGGACAGAAAATGTATTTGGGTATGTATGTATTTTTTATAGTTAATAGTAATAAAAGTCACCTAAGATAGCCTCATCCAAACGCCTTATTATGCTTTGTTTGGGGAACACAAATGCAAGTTACATCTGTAAGGATGCCATCAATCTTGTAACCAAGCCTCGTGGCTGTTTAAAAATGTCCCTCAGAATACCACAGGGAGTTCACCGACAGCTCTATGGTGATTGTCTCTGGGGAATAGAAATCTAATTAGCAGTGTTAGAGGTAAAGCAAATCTCCTTAGCAGTTCAAATGAAACAGTGGTACCTTCTCAAGAAAAAAAATCTTAGAAAGTAATTTCCAAAGACTAGCATAGGACTGGAGGTGTGGCTCCGTGGCATGTGTGAGGTTCCTTTCCTCATTCTGGAAAAATCAACAAATCCATACAGGCAATAAAACCCACCAGAAGCAAAAGAAGAAATCCCACAGACATGCTTGAAGATAGCTGATGTAACATACATTTTATACATAGATTTATAATATATATGTAATTGACATTGAATATATAGTGTCTCTGTGGTGGTCAGAGGACAGCTTTGTAGAACGGGTTTTGTCCTTCCACTTTTGCATAAGTTCCAGGGACACAGGTGACTGGATTTGCATGGCCAGTGCCTCTATGGGCTGAGATATCTAGCTAACGCAGTGTTTTGTCTTCCTAAGAAACTAGAATGTTTACATCAAATCCCCATGAACCACATGTCCCAGTTTTGAGAATGAACATGATCAAGTTATATGTAAGTCTTGAAAGCACCCTCAAAGTGGGAATAACATGCAGGGCACTTAATCAATTATATTCCTGTTTACTGCCCTGCCTAAAAAGAATGTGTGTTCATGAACTCATCTTTCTACAGAATTCAATTGAAACTCCACAAATTGTAGAATAGCTTGAGGTTGACAGAAAGTCTCATCAAGAGGATTCTTGAGACAGAGTTATGCACTCCCTGGGTATTAGGGATGAAACAACTTCAGTTCAGAGTCTACATGTGATTAAATGCCAGTCAGGGAACACACAGGGTCCAACACCTGGTCATCTCAATGTCAGCCTGTGCTGGGGAATAGCCAGAATTTCTGCCCTTAATAAAGGATTGGTGGGTGGATGTAATCTGATGTGCTTGGCTTTAGTCTCCCAAATGGAAAGCTAACAGATTGTGCCTCCCAGCCTAACATCTTTCCAGTTACAAATACAGGATCATGGTGGCTTTGTTGAAATGGAATGTGTCTTTTGGGGAGTGATCCCTAGGGGTACTGAGTAACTCCTGTGTGAGTTGCTCAGTGTGCTTCCTGTCTCTCATACTGTCATCTAGCAAGAGCTAGTAACTGAGCTAGTGACGGTCATGTAAATAACTTACTGCACAGGCTGTAAGTCTGTGCAGGGACAGGGTCTCCACAGACGAACACTTACCCTCGGATATGGGGAGGGAAATTGTTTGAAAATGAAGCAGTGGTCAAACTTGAGGAGAAAGTACCTCTTAATGCTCTTCTAGGAAGAGAAATTTACTGCTTAAAGAAGTATTGGATTTGCTGTTTGTGTGATCTAAAATAATGATTGCAGTTGAGTGACCTTGCTGTGCGTAAGAAAGATATCTCCAAACCAGACGGAGGCTTTGAATACAGAGTATTTTCAGCACTGTGAGCAGTCATGTTTTGTACGTTAGGCTTCGCCTTGCCCCAGGCTGTCCCATGTGGCTCCTATGCATAGAATGCCATTGGCGCTGGCTTCTTTTCTTTGTTGGCTGTTAATCCAGCAAAGACAATATGTGACTGGAGTCTACTTGGAAGTTCTGGCATTGAGCAGACTAGAATCTAGGTCTCACAGAGGTTATTTTTTTTGCCATTCAAAACGCTGTGCTTTTCCGAAACAAGTTTGTGTGTGTAAACACGGGGTTGCTCCACCACACCCTCTGCTCCCGAGCAGTTAACAAAGACATGCTTTGTAGATTTTAAAATAAGTTTTTGTCACTCTTTGCAGCCTGGTATTTTCCCCTCTTTTTTTTTTTTTTTTTTAAGTCCCACCTAAATAAATCTCTTTGTTAAGGAACTGGTGTTTCTGGATCAGAGGAAAAAGTATATTTAAAATACAGAGAGTATTTCCAGGTTCATTATGGATCTCTGATGACAGGTTTTTTTTTGGGGGGGGGGGCATTCACTTTTTGTTCTCAGGGTTTTTTTCTGGCTTGTTGCAGACAGCAAGATTCTAGGTTTATGGCCCAACTGTGGTAATCATGCTGGGTTCTCCCTGGGAAACGACTCCAGGCGTTTTTCTGTGTGGTATTGAAGTTAAATTACTACAAAGCCCACATCCCTTCTCTCTCTCTCTCTCTCTCTCTCTCTCTCTCTCTCTCTCTCTCTCTCTCTCTCTCTCTCTCTCTCTCCCTCTCCCTCTCCCCCCCTCTGTGTGTGTGTGTGTGTGTGTGTGTGTGTGTGTGTGTGTGTGTTGAGAGAGATTGTTTTTTCCAACTGGGTTGCTTTTTTCCCTGTTAACTGCTGTGTCTGGCAGTCATATTGTATGTGACACACACACATCCCCCTCTTTCAATGAAGAATGTTTATAGTAAGTAGCAAGAGCTGGACCCGGCTCACAGCTGGCCGTGCAGTGCTGTGCCCCCAGTGCCTGCGCTTGGCTATTTTGTTACTTGTAGATCATGGTCTAATTATTTCCCATTAAAGGGACACTAATTCCGTAGGGTGTGTAATCGTATTTATAGTACATTTTATTACTTTGCATTCCCTCGTGGTAGTGTGGTGATATCATAACAGAAACATAACATTTGATGCCCGAGAAGGTTCACCCTGCAGCCAAGCTGTATTTCACTTGTTCTTTGGTGTGGTGGGGAGGTGGAGGACATACCTTTTGCGTGCTTGTGCCTGTTGCAGAGTCCCTGCCATCAGCGAGAGAGAGAGAGAGACCTGGTGCTCTTGGTAGTTGGGAAAGCATTGCCCTGGGAGTGTGATGGGTCAGATTTACAGCGGCATGGCTGTGAGTGCGTTTGCTGCCTCAGTCAGCTGCCCGAGCTCCCTGCTGGGCCGCCCCTTTCTGGCAGAACAGCGGCAGCTGGGAAGGTGCTGTTTCAGGCTCTGGCTGTTCAGAGGGGGGTGAAACAGCAAGAGAGGGGAAACTTCCCTAAGTCCAGAAGCTGGCATTGGAGGGGGAGCAGGCGGTCATGTGTCTCTGGCCATCCTACCCTCTGTCACAGAGTAGATGAGAGCTTTTTGCTCTTATCCAATCATGCCTGGAATGCTGCTTGCCACTTGGGCTATTTCTGCTATCTGTCGCTCTTGGTGCCGCAGTGCTAACGGTTTGGCAGATGGGACACTTTTTCTTGGAGTTGGTGTCTTTGGGTTTTGACTTCTGGCATTGCTGGGCCGGTTGTCGTTCGCCCTCTCCCTCCTGGCCCCCCTGGTCACCATGGCCCATCGGCTTCGGTTTCATTTTGGCTCTGGCCGCAGCAATACGGCCCCCGAGTCTGAGATCCTAGACCAGGAGAGAGAAGAGGACTTTTTCATGGCATTCCACACGCTGCCACGGAGAAGCAGCCCGCACCCCTTCACCCAGAACACAGGGGGAGACAGCGGCCTGCAGGAGGGCGTGGGTGCTCTCAAGCGCAGCTCATCCATGTTCATACCGCAGCTCCTGGCCGGGGTAGACACCAGGCCCACCCGAAGCTCCTCGGTGCAGATCTCCCTGCAGCGCAAGGCCGCAGACGGTGCCACAGACAGCTGCGGGCCACCCGAGGGCCCTGACGACAGGCCCCCGAGTGCTCAGGCTGACCTCGGAGACCAGGCCGCGGCCACAAGGGTCTCCACGCAGATCAGCTCATCGGAGCCCTCTCCAGTGGACACTCCTGGAAGCTCCCCTCCAAGGGCGGCCTGGGACCCGGGGACCCTGATCAACGGCACTTGTGAGCACCGTGGTCAGTGTCTCCGCCTGGCTGAGGATACAGAGGAGGCCACCCCAGGCCTGCGCATCCAGCACAGAGCCTCCAGTGCCGACGTGCGCCAGGTGCGGCTGCTGCCCTTCGGCCCGGATGGCCAGGCAGAACCCAGACGCTGGTCCCTCCAGCATGTTCCGGATGCTTCTGGAAACTCCGGGAAGCGCTGTTTTGTCTTTCAGCTGCAACAGCCCCAGCAAGGTGCCCTGGGGCTGGGCGGTGACTTCAACTTTGGCTTCACGGGCACTAAGGGGGACAGGTTGGTGAGGTATCCACGCATTCGGCTGGAGAGGAGCACGTCGTACCCCACCCAACCCCGAGCAGGCCGGGTGAGCCCCACCGAAGATCGAGGGACCCCAGAGGCATCGCCTCGGGCCAGTAGGATGGTCCCCGAGATCCGCAGGACAAATTCAGAGAGGTCCCCGCAGAGTCCAGGGTGCATGTTCAAGATCAGGCAGGATCAAAATGCAGGGCAGCAGCATTTCCGAATTCTTGTGACTCGGGGCCCTGAAGAAGCTCCCCAGAACCAAGAGGAGACTCCCAAGAGCCCTGGACACCCTGGAGCTGGTGCTCCGGTAAGTCCGCAGGCGCACGTGTTTGAGAGGCTCAGAAGGGACCGAGCCAACCCAGAAAGTGCGGTTATTTTGCAGCCCAATCCTCTAATGAGGAAATGTCCCTCGCTGTTGGAGAGAGTGGATCCCAGTGTTTTAGTAGTGGCCCATGAAGCTGGTTAGCCTTTCAGAAAGTATCTTTTCTGTAGGTCCTTGACGTCAAAAAGCTCCACCTGTTTTGGAATCCCTTTTTAGTTTATTTTCTGAATGAAAGAATTTTAAAAATTTATTTCTTTTAAAAAATGTATTTATTAAAAT